CATACAGCCCAGAAAATCTACAACAAATAAAGAACTCTAGCTATGAAAGCCTTCAACAACATATTAAATAAAAATAATTCAAACAAAATGGAGACCTGAATGGTACATGGTGGCTTAGGTAAAGAATTTACAGTTTCATCTTCAGCACAGTTTTCATTTAGATTGTTGTTGCTTAATATTCAACATAGCAACTTTGAAATAAGGCCTCCAGTTGTATTCCCACAATGCCATAATGATACATGCAATTGGTCTCTTTCCATCTGTGCCTTATATCGTTCATCTTGGCAATATAATATATCATTTGTTTCTGATCTAAATTTTGTCCAGATAATTTAAAAGGACTTTGCTTATTATGGAAAACCAAAGGCAGAGAGAGTGCCATCATGAATAAAATGTTGAACTGAATTTTGGGATGGATTTATGACAAAAATAATTGCCTATTTATCTCTCAAGAAGATGACTATAATTGGAAAGGGAGTTAGCAGGAGGTATCTAGTAAATACTATTCAGATGCTACTCTAGACTGTTAAAGACACTTATGAAAAATGTGACAAATTAATTTACTTCACTCCCCATAGTTCACAAGGTTTTTTCATAATTATTGAGAGTCAGGTGAGAAAGTGGGCTTTACACTAAGAAAACTGAGAACAAGAATGTTGTTTCTCAGATTAAGCTTGTTGACAGTTCAGTAATACATTTCTAGTGAGATAAATGTGTGCGAAATAAATCTATTCAATTATATACTCTTCCTGTAGTTCTCGTACCCTAGAGATCATTCATGAATGTTTTGTGGGCACTGATTTTTTTCAGCATTTGATGATCCTCAGGCTGACTCCTTACAGGAATCCTGACATGAAATATGTGTGGAAGCCATGACTGTAGTAAAATGTTGCACAGTTCTTCTGATATATGGACTGAACTGATGGAACCTGCACATTTGGCTTGCAAATGTAGCTCCTATGCACAAATTTTACATGCAAATGACAGGTAGACATCACCTTAGCCAGAAATCTCATGGTGAGTGGGCATGAGTACTCTGAATGAGGAACAAGGGTTCCTAACTCCACATTATTCCAAACATATTAAGTGTTTGGTGCTCTCATGGAGATGGGACCTGGTGTTGACATATTAAATTCTGTTAATAGTACTTTCACAGATCATTAGGTCACAACCAGGAAGTTATTCTGTAATGCCAGAAAGGTAGATGTGTGAGGTTACTATGAAATGAGGTGAAATCACTCCACACACATGAAGAGTGTTTGCGTTCTTGGTATTCAGGGCAGGGATCAAAGTTGCCACTTGCCAGGACTTAGCTGGGGGCTCCTGTTTCCTATCACCTCATGAAATTGTAATGAAAAGGTTTTTTTTTAATGGCTAGCAGGCCAACAGTTCTCTCCAGGAATCCTCAGCTATGTTATATTTTTATCTGCTGTCTAGGAATCGCTGGAAACTCTACAGCTGCCTCCCATATCATTTTCCTCTCTTGATCTCTTGCTGATGGCCTGGCACCCCTATCAGAGATTATTCTTGGCTCAAATTTATTTAGATACTCCCATATCTAGCTATCTGCCTGCCTGTCTGTCTGTCTGTAATGACGAGATTTAAGTTTTCCTTAGAACTGCCGGCCTAAACCCTTGGCTGGAAACTCCCAGGTAGCAGGGGGGGGGGGGCTGCGATTGTGGAGACTGACAATGTACAAGGCTTCCAGTTGTGGAGGTGGTGTTGCATGATGAGTGTCACATGACACCATGATGTCACTTCTGAACACAAAACTGGAAGTGATGTCACAGCCTTGCACAAAGTCATCCCCCCATTTTTGTTCTTACTCCTTCACTGAGCAGCAGTAACAGCCTAGCATAGGGACAATCTGGCAGCCCTGGACTGCCTGGAAATTGTTACCTTACTCCTTTAATCTCCTGCTTTAAAGAACTTCTATGTTGTCAGAGTTTGTTGCCTTTAATCCTGTGTCAGCATTATACCACTTTAGTCCTTACATTAATTTTAACAGTGGTGAGGACAGGAGCTTGACGATGATTACTCATTGGTGATTGTAAGGCCTCCCACACATTTATGCATTTATGCATTCTTTCTCACAGGCAAGTCATGGGAAGGAAGCTTGTGATTAAAGATTATAGACACATACCCGGGCAGCTATCCCCCCCCCCACTGCTTCTCCTCTCTCAGTCTCCCACCTACTCTTGGCGTGACTTTCACAATGTAAACAGAGGTTGCAACCCCAACACAGAACAAGTCTCACACCAATATTCTGCCCAGTGTTCTCAGTTATCACTGCAGACTTTAAAGAGAAGAGAAACAACCTATACAAAGTATCCAGGAAGAAAAGGCTATGGAAGATCACATGAGAACAGGGGTCATTTGGGGGGGGACGCGGGGGGACGCCATTTCCCCGGGTGAGGTGCGGGAGGGCGGGGCCTGGAGCTCCCTGCTGGTGCCCGCTGGAGGTCGCCACCGGCTGTGGGAAGGACACACTTCCGGTGATGTCAGGGGGTGTGGCATATGCTAATGAGTTATGCTAATGAGTCCCCCTAGCTCTTTTTCTACGAAATGACCCCTGCATGAGAATAATTTTGGTCAGTAAAAGGAGAACTCTAAGAACACTTTCCTGTGCTGGTCCCCCCTGCCTTCCCTGGCCCACCCGCTAGGGCGGGCAAGCCAGGAAAGGCCCTGGAATGAATGGGGAGGCATTTAAATGCCCCTCCGTGCCTTCCCCGACCTGCCTGCCACAGTGGGTGAGCTAGGGAAGGCCTGGACCAGCCCCCCCACCTTCCCTGGCTGTCCACCAAGGCAGGTGAGCTGGGGAACGCCCTGGAATGAATGGGGAGGCATTTAAATGCCTCCCCGTGCCTTCCCTGGCCTGGCGGGTGGGCCAGGGAGGTCCCTGGAAGGATTGGGATGGTACTTAAATGCCTCCCCGTGCCTTCCCCTTGCCCAGAAAAGAGATTCCCCAAAAGGATGCTCCTTCCAGGCCTTCCCCAACTCGCCCACTTCGGCACAAAAAAAAATATGGAATTTTTCGAGTTCGGATCTACTGAGCCCGAAAAATTTCGGTATTTCCCAATATTCCCGAAACCCAGTATCGGTATTATACTGGGTTTCAGGAATTATTGGACTAGTCAAATAATTTGGCTTAATTATACCCTATGGGGACTGTTCTCATAGGGTTTAATAATCCCCCTTTCAAGAGGGGGGATTGCCTTCCCTTCAATGAAGGAAGCATGCTGGCTCTGCGATGTGACTTGAGGTTTAAAGTTTAACTGCCCCCCGAGTCGTGCCGCAGAGGTGGCATGCTTCCTTCATTGACAGGAAGGCAATTTGCCTTCCCTTCAGTGAAAGGAGCCCACTGCTCCCCAAGCTAGCCCCTCCCACCTTCCCTGGCCCACCTGCCAAAGCAGGCGAGCTGGGGAACGCCTGGAGGCACCCCCTGGCTTCCCTGGAGGGCCCTGGAAGGATCAGGAAGGCATTTAAATGCCTCTTCATGTATTCCCCAACCTACCCACCACAGCAAGCAAGCCGGAGAAGGCCTGGAGCCAGCCCCCCTGCCTTTCCTGGCTTACCCGCCAAGACTTGCAAGAGAGGCAAGGCCCTGGAATGAATGGGGAGGCTAAATGCCTTCCCCGGCCTGCCCGCCGCATGGCGTGATTGTTTGTTTTCCTGTGCCCAAACTCATCGAATATGAAAGAAAAGTTGTTGTCTGATATTTCCATGACTGGAAAGTTTTGTTTTGTTTTTAATGTAATAAAGCATGCAATATATGGCACATACCCTGAAGTCCTACAGTTTTCCCTCCAAAAGCTGTTCTGAGTGTAGAATATAATAAATTATGTAGACCAAATAGAAGCACTGGCCTCGACTTACTGATGGCAGTGTTTGTGGAATGGGCCATGATGGAGTCAAGGAAGATGGCTGCTGCTTCCACTGACCATGCTGTTCTCTTTGCTGGCCTTGTGAGCAGTGTTCCCTCTAAGCTGAGTTAATGTGAGCTAGCTCACAGTTTTTTAGCCTCCGGCTCACACATCATTATCTTAGCTCAGGAAGGATGGCTCCAGAGCAAACTAATTTATGCAGTAACCAAATCATTCACTCACAACTTTAATGCCAGTAGCTCACAAAGAAGAATTTTTGCTCACAAGACTCCACAGCTTAGAGAGAGCATTGCTTTTGAGTGTTGCTCCTGGGCTGGCTACCCCATCATCTTGGGCCAGCCCCAGGGGGCGCAGGCAACATTGGGTGAGCTCCTGATGTAGAAGCTTAGCCTGTGTGTCCTGCACATATTTAAAGTGCTACTGGAGTGGCTTTATTCTGCTTGGTTTTCTCTGGCTCTCCCACCCTCCCTCCCTTGTATTTGTTGTTTCTGGATGTTTTCTGTTTGTTATGAACTACTGTCACAGCTTTGGCAGTTTGTGCATTGGGATGGATATTTTTACCGAGAGGATGGGCCTGCATGCCCACCTCCCATATTTGGGGACTCCCTTAAGGGATCTTGGGGTGGAGCCATCTAGTGGCATGCCCAGCTTGGGGCCTGTTGTCTGGCTCTTACCATCAGGTGCCAAGGGAACCACTCAGTGACTTGTGTCCATGTGGTCCCCATGGGATCGTGGCTCCACAGTTTACCCTCCCAGCAGGTGGGTTGGGGGAATGGGTTCATCAGGTGGCAGGAAGGTTGTCCAGTGCAGGATCTGTCCCCATGCAGTGCCAATGCTCCCTGTGTGTAACTAATAAGGAGTGGTGGCCAATTTTTCTCCATAAAATTGTTGTGATGTTTTTCTTCCACATACTCCTTAATAGACCATGGGCCCACAATCTCCTCTGGTAGAAGGTACTCAAGCAAAGCTGGTTTAGTCAAAGCAACACCCCCCACAAACAAAACCTACCTTTTTGGAATTTTTTTCCATATATGAGCCGCAATCCTGAGGCAGGGATTGAACTATATACTGTTTGGATTTCAAGAAAACTATTCAATTGTTATTTTAAATTTTCAGATTAACTTCTTGAAGACTGAAATGGAGAGGAAGAGTAAAATGATCAGAGATCTCCAAAACGAGGTAGGATTAATTTTCATAAAAATATTGAAATAAAATAGTAGTAACAGAACACTTGTTTCTCTAGCAGTAAACAAGAGAATGAAAAAAAAATCAAATACCAAAGATACTTACAATGTCATTCTATCCTGTAGATGTATAATTGCTAAATGAGAGATGGAGTTATATTCACAACAGTATTATACCACTTTAAGAATTTTAGAATATTTGCATATGCATCTGTTGATGTAGATTTTTAACTGATAAGTAAATTAATGTAATAATACATATTTCAATAAATTCTGCGCTGTGTTTTCCAAGGGGAAACTGAGAGTGCTAAGTGTCATTTCCATGAAGTCTTTCCATTCGCCTTGAATCCAACCCATAGTAAGCACTGTTGTGGCTTAATTAAAAGGGTCCCAGATTTCAAAGCAGCAGTGATTTGAAACATCACTTCCTTTTTTACTCTGTTATTATATTCATAGTTTTGATTATGTTATTCATTAAATGCCATGTCAGATTCTTCAATTCCAGTTCTAAAATCCTCATTGCATACATTTGGTTATGGTTAGAATATGGGTAGTGAAAATGCCATGTTCTTGCTACTCATTGGATAGGTATAATATAGCTTGAAGTTTTATTTGGAGTCTAAAAGATAAGGGTAACTTTCAGATACTAGCTCCCTGCTATTTGCAGCTTGCGTAGCATCCTGGTAGGTAATAATATAACACTTTGTTTCTTTGAGCATGCCTCATTGCACCCAAAAGTCATCTTTGGTGACTCTCTGATTCCTTCATGAACCCTGTTATCTAGCTGACCTCAGTAAGGATATGTGTAATGCCATAATTTGTTGTCTGTTATTGGCACATATATACTGTCTATCTGTTACCTCTTATGAAAGTCTTGCCCTCTTCCCTCCCTCAGACGCAGGATTTTCCTTCCATTTTTCTCTTACTTTTTGACTGAGCTTCCCCTTTATCTATTTTCTTCTTTTTGGAGACCTATGGCTGTCCCACCCTGTCACAATATTATATTTCTATGCTGGCTCAACCCAGGAACTTGAGAAAAGAAACAAGATCAGCCTCTTTTTTTGGTATTTTTGGTTCTCTCTCTGTGTCTGCACCTGGAAGTCACATTGACCTCTGGTGACTGGCTTCTACGGGGGCCTGGAGGATTATTCAGAGAGGTGGCTGAATAAAACCTGCCTCTGTCCTCTCCACTTGGTATTACAGGAAGTCTCCCATCCAAGTACTAATCGCAGGTGACCCTGCTTAGCTTCTGAGATCTGACGAGATCAGGCTTCCCTGGGCTATCCAGGTGAGGGCTAAGATCACCCTCTTCTGAAATGGCACGAGAGGATTTATAACATTCAAAAATTAACAACATTTTATTCAACATAGGCCCTGTTCAGACGGAGAAGTTGCCACACTAAAGTTATTAATGTCAAGCAGATTTTTGGTGCGTGATCACACAGCAACATCTGGGAAGTGTAGCGCACCCGTGGCCAACCCATGGTGTCCCGCCAAAGATGTGCAGTAAAAAACTACCTCGGAAAGTGCACTAGTATCTGGAAAACATGGGGCAGGGGTGGGCGTCTGATCGCGGGAGCACTAGTATCCCATGGCATCCGGTGCCCGTCCACGTCCCATCGCAAACTGGATGTTTTTCGTAAGCGCATGCGCACAAACACCTAACTGAAAGCAGGCATGCTCCACGGAACTGCGCATGTGCACAAATGTGAAACGCTTGCCACGCCACTTCTTTGCCACGCTCCAGCATCGCCATGTGATCGCCAGCTAACAGCCTAAGTGCGAAGCCTCGGGGGACCATGTGATCGGTCTACCACACTTTATTTTGCTCCAGGGCTAACAGCCACGCCTCCCCCCTGTGTTATCTGGCCTGTGTGACCGAGGCCATGGAGCGGAAAAGGTCAGGTAAAATCAGGGGCAAATTTTCTGAGGTAAATCAATGAGAACTCTGAGGTAACTTAATATTTTCACAAACTACAATTCATGTTTCCAATGATTGAGAGTTTTTAATTTTTCACAGAGTCTTAGAGTCTTTGATATGAGAGGCTTTTCTTGGATAGAGTCTGCTAACGTGATGGAAAGCTGAAGACAGATGGACAGATAAATGTAGGTTGGCTAGTAGTGGGAGGAGAGAAGATAGCAGTGAAAGGAGAGAAGCCCCAAGAGCTTTTAGGAAAGGGAAAGTGGAAATAAAGTGGAAATAGTGAGGAAGGGAAAATGAGATGCCCCTAGGAGTCCTAGCAGCTCCTCACATTTGTGTCAGTGTCTACCTGCAGCTGTGCTTTTTCTTCTTCCTATACAAATTTCCCAGTCTCAATCGTACTCCCCTGGTTGGACTTAAAGCAGCTGGGGGTGATTTTTAATGGGAGAATCAGTGTGGGAGGAAGACTTAGCACTGTTTGCTGCTGCTTCTTCTTCTTCTTCTTCAATTACAGCACACGGTGAGTCCCATCATAGACCCTTTTTGTCAAGTATACTTTTGCCCTGAGGCAGCAGAGCTGGGAAAGACTTCTGCTTGAGTCCCTGGGAGAGCCTGTGCCAGCTGGTGCATACAGTACTGGAGGAAAATGCTGACTTGATATAAAGCAGTTGCTTATATGTTTCATTGCTCAAAGATTCAGCCTGGGAACTGTTATATATGTGAGATGCTAACAGTACAAAGACATTCAAAAATGGCAATGTATGCCTGCTTTGTAGGGGTGTGTGTTTGGCATAAACTAAGCCAGAAAAATACCCCCAAAATAACTTACCAGTATTTTTTTTTGGAGGGGGGGCATTATTTAAGCTGGATACAAATCAGGGAATCTGATTTGGCTACTGGTATAGCTAAGCCTGAATAAAAACCATTTTTTCTGGCTTTCATTAAGGTATATTCAGCTATACTGCAAGACAGGATCAGCTAGAGTGGTGGGAGCTGAGCTCCATGCTACCTCAACTGCAGCTAGCTTTTCTTTGCAGCTCAGTTTAAATTGAGCTGCAAAGAGGAGCAGTCTGGGATCCTTGGGGGTGGGGGTGGCCGAAGCTGATAGCTCCATCCTGCCTCAGCTGGGAGCCTGGTTCCTTTTTGTAGCCCAGTAAACTGAGCTGCAAAAAGGAGCCAGCCCAGGATCAGTTGGGGTGGCATGGAGCTCTCAGCTTCTGCTGCCCCAGCTGATCCTGTTGTTTTCTTCTCCTTGGGTCCATTGGACCTGAAAAAATTCAGGAATCCCAAATATTTACCAAATCCAAATACCATACCAGTATTGGGATTCACAAATATTGGGAAATAGGTTTTTTTTTGGGGGGGGGGGTTCCCATGTGCCCACACCCAAAAAGTACTCTCTTTTTTTTTGCACACCCCTACTGCTTTCTCAGTGAGTAAATTTGTTGTGGGTAAGATATAGTAGTATAATGAATTAGTAACTGAATAAGAAAAAAGTTTTTGGATTTCTCTATAAGACTGAAATGAGGTTACTGATCAAAATTCAAATGTACGAAGTTAATAGAGGCTGTTTGCTAAACAGACTATCTTACACAAATTTATGTAGCACTTCAAAATCCCATTGTTTTTTTAGGGAAAGAACTGATTTCTTCTATATTACATCTAATCTCTTAGCTGAATTTAGATGCCCATTTCCTGTGTGTACAAATTAACAGTGTTTTTCTAAGTATTTGAGGTCAATTAAGATGAAGTGGGAATCTGTTTATGAGATGTATTTTACATTTAGGTCAGAGGAGCACAAACTTCAGAGAATAGTGAGGTGAGGGTAGATGTATTTGCTGACATTATTCACTGGCTGATCTTGGCCAACCCATGAAATTTTAGCTTCACATGAATGGGTTCCCATATGATGCTACAGCTATCTAGCTTATGCTGTACACTGCTACTTGAGTTTGACAGTCCTTGTAAGGGAATCCAGCCATTGGTCTACTTTTTTTTTTGCTTCCTTTCAAATTTATATGCTACTATTCCAGCCATAGGCCCACCAACTCAGCTTCTTAGGGTGTAGGGATGGGCACAAACTGAATCATGAAGCAAAACTCATGAATCATGAGTTTTGCCCTGTTCATGGTTCGCAAATTGAAGTTCTTGATGGGTCTACCGTCACAAACTTCCATGGATCATTAAAGAATTTCATGGTGGTTAATAGCAGTTCATGAATACAGCAGAAAGTAAGGGTTTAAAAGGACTCCAAGTCCCTTTAAAACCCTGCTTTCTGTTTCCTGCCAAAGCCACAAAAATGGATGTTTGGGGCTATCGTGCAGTCCTTTTAAACTTTGTAACTGCACTAGACAGCCCAAAACAGCTGAGTAGGAGGGAGCAGGCTGTTTTTTTGCACTTTCTGTGAACCCCGTTTAAAGGGACTGCAGTCCCTTTCAATGTATGTGGGGACATGAACCGGTTCAGTTTGTGAACGAACCTCTCAGTTTGATTCAGTTTGTGGTTTGGCCATGAACCATAAACTGACACACACCACATTTTACTGGTTTCTGCCCATCCCTTGTAGGGTTCCAAATTGCAGAGGGTTTCAGAAAATATCTGTGTTGGTCTGCAGTACAAGAGCTAGATGCAAGTTCAGTACCACCTTAGAGGCAAACTAGATTTTTAGGGTATGAGCTTTTGAGAGTCAAATGTTCCTTCACCAGCTTGCATAGGAACTGCTAGAAAACTAAGGATAGCCATGAACTGGCTGACAAACTGAAGTTCATCATGAATTCTGGCCTGTTTGGGTTTATGAACTGAGAAACCATGATGAACTACCACAAATTTTGGTACAATTCCTGGTGGCTCATGACAGTTTATGAAGAGCAGAAAGCAGGGGTTTGTGCCTATCTCTATAGAAAACCATCATGGAAACCTGCTAGTTTCTCCTCTTTTCAAAGTCTTTGGACCATAGGTTCTGGAGCAGGGAGTAGTGGCACAGGATATAGTAATGGCCACTATTTGTAGCTGCTTTTAAAAGAGAACTTTATCAACTCATGGAAGATCGGTCCATCAATAGCTATTAGACACAA